TGTCCCATAGTGGTATTTACAAACCTGCATTACTCCTCTCTGTTGGTTACGTAAGTAACCATGAATAATACCATGCTATTGCTCGAAGATGAACCGACATGCGGGAAGAAGGCTGCTGAAATTCCCAAACAAAGCCCGTTCCTTCATTCCAGTACCGAAAACCCTAGAGAGTCCCTTTTAATTTTCAACTGCAATGCAAAACAAGTCAGATTTCCAGGAGGAACCATCGCATCATGATTAGGAGTGTAGATGAGAGTATTTTCATAGGTCTTAGATAGTACTTTGTTTGTAGAGTAAAACTGTCTAGATCACTGCGTTTAAAAAATTTTTACCACCAGCTGAAAAAAACAGAGAATGATATCGCACGATATAGCTCAAGGCAGTTTACCTTCTGGTTTAATATATCAGTAAATTACTCGTTGATGAACAAAGGCTATCTCAGTGAGCATAATCTGACTAACCATCAACAATTCCCCATCAATTTCGACACTATTCGTGAAGTTTTGCAATCTTTACCCACTTGAAGAATGGGTCAGGAGAGAAAACATGATTAACTTGAACTTGCCCTCCATCAGACTGACCACAGAAAGAAACCACTGAATAATAATGCAGTAAATAATCTACAATTAATGCTTATTGTCGTCAGTATTACGAATATGAAAAATGAGGTAAGAACAAAGAACTCGATCCTGTACCATTTCACCTGCTGCACCGGAAAATATCCACAACGATAGTCAAAAGATTAATTTCGTAATGGAACAAATACATAGCAAGAAAACAGTTAGGAAGAAACCTACGCAATGGACATTATTGCTACTCTATAATAGTGGCTAATAAACTTTGTACTTTTGAACTCATAGTAACTGTATTTGGTATTTCGCAATTCAGCCTACCTGATCCATCCCTACAGCCTTCTCATAGCTTTAACACAATTAGTTTTTTTCCAAACAATGTTCATAATTCCTTCATCAATTACGTATCGTCGTCGAAATAACGAGCGCTAAGAGCAGGTAAACAAATTTCAAGCACCCTAATGGCGACGCGCCCTCCGGAACCAACACCTCTAATTCTCTACTAAAATCTTTAAAGAATAAAAAGACAACAAAATCTCCATTAATATTAATTAAACGCCAATGTCTAGACCTCGCGGATGCTTATTTCGAGAAACAACGCAAAAAGTACTACGAACATTTTAAAAAGTGAATTAAGCGGTCATTCACTGTTAATCACTCGTAAATTCGCCTGTTCCTAAGCTGAGGTCACATTTATCAGGACACTTGCAATTCAACAAAATTCAATCTTCCCTGCTTACCACTTTACAACAGTCCGTGGCGAGTAAACATTTTTTCAAGTCAATGCGTATTCCAGCACATGGCCGTCCGTCAGCTAGCTTCGACTTAACTTCGGACATTACCAAAGTGCTCTATCAACCTAAAACAGAATTCAAAACCAAAGGAAATTTTAAGGTGCTTGTATATTTCAAAAATTTATTTCTACATAGTTTACAACTCCGCTGTTCCCCGTTCCAAACATGAAGACCGTGGGCGAAGTCTCCTGCCAAATGTAGCCACCTTAGCTTCATGGATTGAATGAAGGATATACGGAGCCAAGTTATCAAGGCCGCGTGGGCTGCGGAGGAACAGGCTCAGAGTGAAAAAAAATCAGCGACCAGTATCCG